AATGTTTACTAGATGTTTATGAGTTTATAGCTTAATCTCCTAATCTTTGTGCTTTGTTTCCTTAACTATTTTTCGCCTAGTATAGCCTATGATATTTTGACTAGGGACGTCTGGGACCGACCTTTAACTTCACCATCCAAAAAACGTGACTAGGTTTTGAACCTGGGTCCGCCGATTCATAGTCAAGGCGAAGACCACTGACGATACCCCAAGACCAACCCACATCTCCCCTCGCATCTGAGACATCACTCGATATACCTGCATCGCCCGAAGACTGGGTCAATTACATCTTCTTCTTTTTTGCCCCCGATGAGTCTGAAGAGGGAAGAGAGGGAGACATGAGTATATAGCGGCGCACAAACCATGCAGCCAATGAACTGCATGGAATGTGGTCTTTGCAGAAAGACAGAGAGAGAGAGAGAGAGAGAGAGAGAGAGAGAGAGAGAGAGAGAGAAAGAGAGAGATCAGTCGGTCAAAACACCTCATGCTGCTGTCACATGACGTATGTCATTTAAAGGGATTGGGTATCTTTGTCTCAGATTCGAAACAAAATCCTGGATTTAGCTCATGCTGCAATCATACTTATAAACATTTAGGTCAGTCAGAAACTTCCCATGACGTTTACAAGCCGACCGCCTTTCTGATTATCAAGATATTTATGATTGGAATTCGAAATGTCAAAAACCGTTTTCTACAGTCTATTGGGGAAAATGGGTATGGTAAAACCGGTCACTCAAAGATTTTTACTTTCGTGAGGCACTTCAGGATCATTTTAAAGCGCAATTTTCTTAGGGCTTCAATTTACACCATTATTACAGACACTGATAACACGTAGGGCCATGCATATCAGATTTAGAATTGTTAAAGCAAGTAGTTATTAAGGTGGTGTTTATATTGCATAGACCATTTTCGTAATGTAATCAAATCTACTGCATAACTCTTTGTTAAGCGCCCTTTACAAATTGTTTCATTCATGTATTAAATTTGTATTACAATACGAGAATGGTTGAATTGAATTGAGTTTTATTTTCTTAAAACATAAAAAAGAAATGTACATACAAAATGATACGACAAAATGAAGTGGGGGGGGGGGGGGGTTACAAAAAAAGTATTAATTCTTATATATCGGTTATCATATCCCCTTGAACAATATCAAAGCAAATAGGACACAAAGTAAATATTCTTTGAGAAGCTCCGAAGCCGGTAAGAATGTATTCAAAATTATGTGTACTAGTTTATTAACTATGGTAGCGGAAATTTTCTTCCGGTTTAAAAGTGCTTAATCTGAAAAGGCAACATAAGCACATGTTACACGCCTGTGTGACACGTGAACTTAAAATTACAGTGTATTAAAGATGGGGCCATTTTTATTTCAAAATTGGAAAAGCTCTTGAATTCCGTAAAGAGTTATAACATATTCTAAAAAAAGTGGATGAAAAATAAACCATGCGTTTTGGTATAGGCACATCCTAAAATGAAATCACAGAAAAATAAGCTGCAGCAATAAAAGCACAAAAATGCCCAACACGGAAAAACAATTGACGGAACATTAAAAAAAAAAAAATCAACGTTAAACGTTAAAACTTTAAAGATACTATGTCCCTTTTGCAGCCAACCTCAAATTCTGTAAAAATTTGCGGGAATTATGAATATGTCATACATGTCCTATCTGTGAAATTTAAACGCTAGCAGTGTCCTAATATTCAAATTATGCAATGAAACCCGTTTACGTGCTAGACTTCACTGTCAGACACTATTGAGTGACTGACTGGCCCTTTTTATGCTTTGGTAATAACATACATAAAATGAGCTGTAAAAGGTACATGAGCATTTGTCTACAACAATTACCCACTGTTTGTAATGGCCAAAATTAAACTGATTGAATCTTTGCGCAGCATAAAACGTTCAACCATTCGGTTCAATGGTCTGAAAATCAAGACTATTACTTAGTGGCTCTATAGCTCCTAAGTCGATTTGACAACTAATAGTCATTATTTTCCCACTTAAAGACATTTTCAAGCCCCTTTTCTTTAGGGAAGTTCTAGATTAGTATTATCTTTCAAATGCCGTTGGAATTTAACCTTTTCATTTTTTGGCTTGCAAATGGGACATAGTACCTTTAAAGGGCGTCGATATCGGTGGAGGGGGAGGGGACGATAATTTCAAGTACACTGTATGTGGGCCTATCCTATATGCAGCGTCTCCCCCACGCATAATGCATAAACAATTTCCGCCCCTCCTTCGTGAAAATGGAATTTGCTATTAGGTTTCTTGACTTCTTGCTGTTAAAGAGTTTGGTAAAGTAGATTAATTCAGGAATGTCATAATTTCACGAAAAAAAAAATCACCGACTGGGAGTTATGGTTTCCCCTTTAACATTGCAGCGGATAAACATAGTGAGAAGTACCAGCGGAAACTGATTGTCATGGAGCGGAAAACATATATGGTTTTAACCCCTCTGCATGTCAACCACGATTAAAGTCAATCTAATGTGGCATATTAAAGGTAATGTGCAGTGTTGGTATAAGCAAGTAGGTCCATGGTATAAATTTAGGAAAAGAAAGAGACGACCTTTACCCTACTTATTTTTGTTGAACCTTTGCAAAATTAGAGCATATCCCTATACAAATTCGCTTGCAATTTTCGAGAAATGATATAGGCCTTTTTATCCTGCTGATGTTGAGTAGGTGTCATAGATCATTACCAGCGAACAAAAAGGGAGAGGGGGGAATTAAACGTCCACACTTTCAGTCGCTTGCACATTGAGTGGCCCAAAACCACAATAATCAAATTCGCGAAGTTTGAGATGAATCCGATATAGTTAATTGAAATGTAAGTTATCTAATGAAATAGACGTCTCTTTCCAATACACGTCCTCATGCGGAATATCTTTGTTCCACTAATCCTAGTAGAAAATTTAAAAAAAAGAAGAAGAAAGTTTGAGGAATGACTAGAACACATCGAATGGAGAAGTGATACGGGTGTGACATCGCGCAGAAACGCTAATGGAAAGTTCTCCATTATAATGAACGATCTCAAAGTTCTCTTTCATACTATTTGTCATATTTATCTCAAACTTTCATTGATTTGTTTCTTTGATTACTCTACTTCCGCTTCGGCCATTCTTGTATGAATAATGAATAATGAATATGGAAACTTTGAACGTGAGGGCTTTTCTGCTCTTCACTTCAGTCATTCTTTATAATTATAGGTGAAGAAAACATGGTCTTATAAGGTTATCAAAGCAAAAAGTGTTTCTCACCGGATAGGTGGGTTTACTTTTCTGGTCCTTAATGCTCTTTATCGTTTCAGATGCACCTGATTCAACATTGTAGATTTACCTTTAAGCAAAAACGTTGAGTACTGGAATGTCGACAACAAATTAAATATGACAGCATTATGACGTGTTTTTTTCTTTTCTTCGTGTGCCAGTGTTTGACTTGATCTTACCGCGTTGGTGTATATAGTTACCATGGATACGACGGGGGGGGGGGGTATAGGCAGGTGCCCCCGTCCCAATGACAGAAGCTAAAAGACAAGGAGAGATAGAGAAATGAGATTGATTATCCCTCCCATCGGCACACCCACCCCGTCCGATCGCTTTGCTCCTTCACAATACAACCGTCTGGTAAAGATCCTCGTCCACCAATGACGATCAGTGCAGCCCCACCCCTCCTCTACAAATCCATTGGCTAGAAGAATGGCGTACTATAATCAGAGAGAGAGAGAGAGAGAGAGTATAATTTTATGTGCAAATACTATGGTATGTGTATGAAATATGACAACAGAAAAGGGAGAGAGAGAGGGAGGGGAAAAGAGAGGGGAGAGAGACAGAGACAGATAGACAGAGATAGACAGAGAGGAAGAGAGAGAGAGAGAGAGAGAGAGAGAGAGGTAAGAGTGACAGTGCTAATACTAATCACTTGTCACTCCGTTGACATACTCTTCGGTTCACCTCTGTCTCAGCATAGTCTATCAAATCAGACCCTAAAGAACTGCAAAAAAAAATGGTCTCGAACACAGCACACGTTTACTCTCTTCATTTGATCCTACAAGATATTCATCATTATGACGTAGAGAAAATTATGTCATCGGGGGCGGAGAAGAGAGGGGATGGGATGGGGGGGGGGGGGGGGGGGGAGGTGGGCACACCTACCCCATATCTTGCACATTTTCTGGTAACATAGCAAAAGGGTTATCGAATCTTTCCTTCCTGGTAACGTTATCACAATTAAGTCCTACGATAATAAATCAATCGGATCAATGCCTTAACATTTCCAGTACGAGGGACATGGCAGAAAGTGCATCAGTCAATAACACATCAAATGAAGAACCAGAACTAACATCAGCTGAGGGGCAACGGTAGTAGTATAAAGTACATGACTGCTTTCAGAGTGATGTGATAGGTGATAGTGGCATTGTACTGTAGTTAACAGTATTGATAATACCGTCAGATAATATTGTCCATTCGGCGGGATGGGGGGGGGGTGTGAATAATTACAATGGAGTACGGATCAACCGAAGTCTGGTAGGCGTTGTCTCACGAGCCCCTCCAATTTTCATTTTCTCTTTTCTGTTTCTTACTTCACCCCCTCCCATTCAATCTGAGTGAGTGTATGTACGTGTGTGGGAGTATATGGGGGGGGGGGCCTTTCCATGGCGACACCCACCGGCTTCAGCATGCATTCAGAGTTCCAGGAAACAGCTAAGATCGATATGACGTTACCATCTAATGATAAAACTATCATGTTAACAGTTATCTCAGATTATTAAGCATACGAGTTCTGAAACTTTTGAAAGAGGCTCTAAAGTCTAAATCAGATTATTTCCCCATTCAATAGCATCCCAAAGTCAGTTATCACTATTGAGTATGAATGCGAAGACTAAACTGACAGCTCGTGTCGAGAGGCTTCGTGATTGGTTGAGCACTCATTTTATTGACCAGCTGATCGGGTCGCTCGCTACCTGTATGTCATCTGCTGTGCAGCTCGCCCCTCGTCAGCTGGGAAAACTACTCTGCAAGGCTCACACCGTCCCTTTCTGTCGGAGTCCCAGCCCGTTGACCGAGAAGCTCTGTACCTGCCTTTCATGTCGTGGGCCAGCTTGATATTGTCCCCAATAATATTTGTCGAGGAGTCTGACAACATGGCAAACCTGTCGGGTCCATATTTTCTGCACGGGAACGCGATCCTGTTCGCCTTTGCGTTGCTCATGTGGTGCTGCCCCACCACGCAGGTCACACTGAATCGGGACCGTGGGGTTGTGGCGGTGGACGATCCCCTGGCCGACGGCGTCCGATCTGATGGCCACTCGAGCTCGTCGCTGGTGTCGAGAGTTGGAGCTTCGATCACGCCGCCGTCGGTTGTTGCGTACCCTCAACAGCAAGTACACGACCGGGGGTCGGTGTCGGGTGGGACACACTCTTCGGGGAATGAGGTCCCGGACGGAGTAGATAATGCCAAGCATGTTAGCTCGACGAAATCCCCTTTGGCGGGAGGTGTGAGACCATCCACACGAGTAAATATGGAGAAACACTTGGTATCGGGTTCCAGGGAAGGAGGTGGGGAGAAGCGGACCGGAGACGCATTACATAGCCCTGTATCAGGAGTTGTAGGAAGCAGCAGTGAAGAAAGGGGGAAAGGTGACGAAGAGGTCTCACTAAGACGACCTTCGGAGACCCTCGGAGTTGGAGGAGGCAATGAAATGGATGTTAATGGAGACATACTAGAAGAAGAAAGTCCTGAACCAACAAAAAGAATGCTAAACGACTCGCCCACATCAGGAGGGGAGACGACATCGACTCGGAGGGGGTGAATGACGTCCCTAAGCAGACGACGTGCGAGAAATGCAAGAAACAGCAGGACGAAGACCTTCTGGAGGAATACGACCCGAACGCCATGATGCAACTCCGAATCGAATCCATCAAACGCCGCATCCTTGATAAACTCCGGATGGAACGTCCTCCTCAGGTCAACATGAGTTCTGTGAACATCCCAGCACCTCTGTCCGAAGGGACCTTCATAGCTGAGGACGAGGAGGATGAAGATGTCCGTCATCATGTCCACCATGTCCCCAGCGGTGCCGACGAGGAGGAGTACGACTCATCGGAAGATTATTACGGAAAGACGACGAGGGTTATTATTACTACAAAAGCAGGTTAGTACTCATCACTTTCTATTATCATTAACATTTCGATAACTAAACGTCTGGTCTTATTCACCCAGGGTAGCCACACCTGTTCTCTTCATGGACCAAGCAATTATGATTCCCAGAGCATTGCTATACGCCTATACCATTTGATAGACCTGGGTCAAAAGGGAAAATGAAGGCAAACACCTTGTCCAAGCATATAAGCACCGAGCAACAATTGAACCCTGAGACTCTCTATGAGAGTAATGAGTCCTTCCTAATATATATGTACCACCGTGCTCTCACTGCAACCTAATGATTGGGCAGATTTGGTTTATGATGTGAACATGCTAAGAAGCCATGAGCAGTGGAATTAAAGTTATAAATAATATTCGCATGATTAGGAAACATGAGATAGTGTCTACCGGATACAGGTGGTTCCAAAAGGTCAAAGGGAATCAAATTATATTGGCATGTACACGAGGAGTAGTCACAATGTGCTAAGAAGACTGAGAACAATGTTCCCGGATTCGAAACCAAGTCATTGCTGAGCTCTGGGGTTTGAATCCCCTTGGTTAAGATCGGTTGATTAGTTCATTCTACGTACATTGAAATACCAACCCAGGTAAAAATTACAGCAAGTTTTGAATGAAATAACCAGCAAATCATCTGATTAATCAATCAATCAATCAATCAATCAATCAGTCAGACAATCAATATAAACATAACGTTTTAAGTAAAGTGAGTTATATTGAATCAAAATAGAGTTAGGGAAAGATCATTGTGTCATCGAATGCTGAAAAGGGATTTACTTCAAATATTGTGATCATTGCTCAAATATTTAACGGTAGACTTTGAAATTGCAAGGGTTCATAAAATTGCATTACTGCAAGACCGGTTGGATAGATATCGGTATTTTAGATTGTAGAACATTACTCATGAAGTTTAAAGGAATTCTTTTGAATGACAAATTACACCATCATTTTATGAGGAAGAACCTTTTGAACATGGATTTGCTTTTCCAATCTGTTGTATGATTTCACGGTTTATTAGCAAACAAACTTAGGTTGGTACTTAGTGATACAGCGTTCTGAGACATTATATTAGTTTTATAGTTGTTATTTATGATAACAGCCACTGCAAATTCAAAGCAAAATGTTTTAACATGCCTCAGGCCATGTTTGCAAAAAAAAATGTTTGCACATTATGTTCGCTATGTGTAATGAAGAGAGACTTTGAGCATCACTAAACCCTTTTATAGACTCTTCGACAATGTCATAAATCTTGAACTTGCCCATTGACATGATTCAGGAGTGGATTCGATTCCGAAATGAAATAATTCCTAAAATTTTCCATTCATCTGCATTATACATGTTTTTATGATAGTCTATCGTTTGGAGGAGATAGTTAAAGGAAACCTCACCCAAAGAATAAGTGTAGGTATGCTGACAAAATGAGATGTATTCCTGCCCTTTGATGTACATTATTTCTTACAAAAATGTACAATATATATATATATATATATATATATATATATGAAGATATTATTTATGCAATTTGAATTCTGGCAATTGTAGTACAAAGGATAAAAGCAGGGGAATAAAAATGCTTCATCAAGTTCATCACCATACACACCTGGGAAGGAAGCATCCAAAAACTGGAATACATTTATTTGATAAATGACTTCACTTTAATAGAGGCTCACGTTTTCAAGAAAATGGCGATGCCCGTGTCGTGCTTGGAACCTGTAAACCATTCTAGCTTTATGCTTTTCTCATACACTTTGGTGGGGAATCTTGTAGGTTAATGGGCAAGAATATGATAAAGCTCTCAGAATAAGTAAATTTATTTCTTTGGAGTGAGGTCTCCTTTAATGGATTCCCTGATAAATTTGCACTGTGCGTATTCCTGAAATCACATCATTATGATTTTCCTAGAAACGGAACATGAAGTCTTTTACAAATTTGTTAAGCTTGATCACCCCGAATCAAAAGCCCAAGATTTATAGCTTTTTAGATGAATGCATATATGATGCTGTTAAGAGTCAACTTGTTCTAAAGAAGGATAATAGAAAATAGCCGTGCACAGAGCCCGTCTTGCGAATCAAATTTATATGTTTTTCTAACTCCTGACATAAGTCAATACACGGTATGCAGCTTTCTAGATAATGTCGTTTTATCCAGGGATGAACAGGATTCCCCTGTATTTCTTTATTATTCTGACTCTTGCCATATCTTATAACCCGAGTCTCAGGTGAAAGCCCAGTGACTATGCCAGTTCTAATATATGGTTAAAACAACAACCCTGCGGAACATTATGAATACAAATGGTAGCTACCATGAGGGTCATACTGCAGTCAATACCAACATTTTATGGCTTCCCGAAAGTTGAAATGAGCCTAACTTTGAACTTGTATAGTTGTATTCCCCTTGGTTGACGTTTGGGGAATATTAAGTTTAAAATATATTCTCAGAAATTTGTTAGCCATTCAAGACATCTTTCTTATGTTCAAGACCTGAACATTCATTACTCTCAGATGTGCTGATATAGTTTAAAAGTGAGCTTATTTCAGGCCCATTTGCACATAAAGTACCTTCATAGAATATATGAAGACAGATTTAATGAAAAATGAGCTTACTAGTTTTGTTTTGCCATTGTAGTTGCAACACATCGTACGAAAGAAAACGAAGGAGAAGAAAAAGAAAGAACAAAAGAAAAGTTCCAGATTGTTCAGAGATCTTAAGGAGCGAAATACATGAACTTTCCGCTAAATTTGCTCCATATAGGTCTGGTAATTGAAAATGACAAAATGTAAGGTTAGGCGACCACCAAACATTGAGCTTCTCAACATGAAGCAATGAATCATTGTGTTCATCACGTTCATATAGCCAGGGCTACTCATAATTTCTATTTCGGGGATATGTATTTTCCGCTGAAACTACGTCTGGCTTCACCGAATGAAGGGCGCCAAAAGACAATTACAAAAAACCTCGTCCATGCAGGCAAACGGATTTTACTCTCTAATAAGTGAAACTGTGCTTCTTTAAGAATCAATTTAAAGTGAACTCAGTTAAAATGTTCACCAAAATGTATTTCAAATGGCCATTTATGGGTCAAAAAGTTTGACGACCACAAGATGATTATCTTTAATAAGTTCTGAATCAGCTAGCAAGTATTCAACCCTCCCCCTCCCCAGTTCACCCATTCCTGGATATGCTACTAAAGTTCTTATCAGGAACACAAAACAAAAACAACGAAAAAATGATAAAGAACAGGTCGTGTTTTCAGATTATCCATGACATTGACCCGAAATTTTGTATTAATTATCTATACAATTCTACCTCAGTAATCCTGTCAATAATGTTGTATTTAAATCTTTGAGAGAAGTTTAAACTGTTCGAGAAAATATGATCGGGGCTGCATACTGATTTAGCCCTAGCTTTTATTGAATCTATTCACTAAAAGAAGAAGAAGAAGAAGAAGAAGAAGGAAAAAAGCACTCTATAAAAACAACTTAGCCCCATCCAGTGCTTTAGATAACACATGTTATTACAATGAAATGTGACACAAATGATTTCCAAAAGGGCCTAAAGATGATTGATCGAGTTTGTGTTTTTCTGGTCATTGAATCACCAAGCGTAATGCAAGGCTTAGTGTCTTTCTGACCCAGTAATCCATTAAATATGGCACATAAAAATCCCAAATCCCTGTGGATGTACCCTATTGCCTTACCTGTGTAAAATTGCCCAGGCACGTACCTTCCCCCAATCGAGGCCTAGATCATATACAATCGCATCTGTTCGACGACGATTATCTCTGCTTTTCTACTTTTGTATTGGGGTGACACCGCTTGGGGAGCGGAGCATAGGCAAATAGAAAAAACAACCTTTTCATCCCTCAGAAAATATGTACAATTGACACGAAATCAAAGCAAGAAACCACTTCAGTAGAGTTGTTTGTTGACCGTATTTTCTAACACCGCTCTGTTTTTTTCCATTTTCTCTGCAATTTGTGCCTTTCGGTTGTTGTACCCCCTTTTTGACCAGATACGCGCTACCACATTTGAAAGCTTTCCATGATTGTCCACAGAAGTTGATTTATTTATTGGAGTTGGATAACGAGGAGAATTACGACTCGGCCAGGGGCCCTACAACACAAGATTAACGCCAAATTGTATTATGTGCTATTTCATCCAAATAATTCGCCCGGTCATGAGATTGTAAGGATTCCCAAAACAATAATGCGTTAAAAACACAAAGGCTATTTTTCACTTTTTACAACAACACATGCCAATCTTGTATGAGTTGTTTGTAATCTTCGAAACACCCCATGTTATGTAAAACCTTGTTTCTGAGAAACCATAAAAACGTACGAGTTGCATTTCTAAGGCACAAGTTTGACCTTTTTTCAGATTATCAAAAGACAATACAGATTTGTTTATTCTATATATTCTAAATATTTATTTGATGAATGTCGCAGCAGCTATTATACCATAAATCACAAGCTTTTTATCCTGTGCATGATATGTCGATTTATCATCACAGTATCAATATACAATCGATTTTAGCATTTATAAGCAGAATGAGCATGTCATGTATATTTGGGCCTCATGAGACAATTATAAATACCTTCATCCCCACATGTGTTTGGAAGTTTCGCTTCTTCCCCCTCCCTCACTTTCGTTGTGTGTCTTTTCAAGTTCATTTGTAATTGATCGAGCTCTTTCGACCCCTATTGTCTATTGTGACTCTTGTCAGTTCGTTGGGTTTATACTCTTTATTTTTATTTCAAACTCACAGAGCACAGAGCGACACCCAAAAGCGAAAACATGTATTGTTTGCAGCAAGTCAATCCAGGGTTTGATTCATTGGCGGGGGGGGGGGGGGGGGGGGGGGGGAGGGATATGCCCGACATTTCTGACCCCCCCCCCCCCCCCACACACACAAAATGTTATTCGATTTTCGGTCCAATGAGGTCGCAAAGCTCCAAAGAGAAGACATAACGAACTGGAACAAGAAATGGAGGCG